AGGACACACTGACCGGCCCTGGGAACAACCTAGGACACACTGACCAGCCCTGGACACAGCCGAGGACACACTGACCGGCCCTGGGCATCCACTGCGCAGTTGTTCCTGTGCTGGGGCCATTGTTGCAGCCTCTCTGTCAACCCGTCTCCTGAAGGCCTTCCTCTTTTCCCCGCCCTCCACAGCACCAAGTCCTTCAGGGACTGTTCCCTTCTGACCGCCTGGCCAAAGTACGTGACACAAAGTCTCGCCATCCCTGCCTCTAAGGGGCAGCCTGGCCGCACTTCTTAGAGGAGTTGCAGGATGATCCCATCAGATCACACAACAGGGCGGTTGTACAACACTGGGAACCATGGCCAGTCGGGTGCTGTGTGCCACTCAACCACCCTGTAGGGAAGGACAGAACTGTCTGTGGGTCTCCCAGGCTGTCCCTCTTCACAAGAGCAGAAAAACCTCTCATCTTGCCTGTGGGCTCAAACTGTACACCTGGCAGTTGCCGCCCCAATGTGTACCACCAGGTGCCTGATGCCATGTGTTGGGGGACACAACTTGCATCACTCACAGCGGCCGCCGCCGCCACCGGGATCTGAGTGTCCTTTGCCTCGGGCTGCTCGTGAGGGCGGGTCCAGGTACAGGACTTCCTCCTGGGTGGCTAGCATGTCCAGCTGGACCGGCATCAGTGTTCAGTCCCCCTCACTGGGGACCCTGCTCGTGAGGGCGGGGCCAGGCGTGCGGTCACGCCAGAGTTGGCTGGAGACCACAGGCATGCGTGGGAAGATTCTTAAGGGCTTTATCCTGAGCTGGCTCTGACAGCACCTGAAGCAGCCGGCTCCTCCTGGTGACGCAGGGATGGTGGGAGGGGCTTCCTAGGCTGCACTCTGCACTGCCCCTCAGCGCTCACCCGGCCCAAGCCCTGATGCTCCCCTCGCAGTGACCTTGACTGCTGGCTGCCAGCCTCCCCCCATAGGCTCCATGTGGGACGCAGAGAGCCCTCCTGGGCTTCATCGCTTCCCTGCAGGACAGTCCCCGCCAAAAACATGCCGCAGGGTTTTGTGGACAGGCGGGTCCAGGTACAGGACTTCCTCCTGGGTGGCTAGCATGTCCAGCTGGACCAGCATCAGTGTTCAGCCCCCTTCTCTCCCCCTGGTGCATTTAAGGGACACATTGCCCCCGCTGCCTGTGGGGCCACAAGCCACACACCCACTGACGCCTGTCTGGTTCCCCAAGGTCCTGCTGGTCGGGTCAGATGACTTCACACTGCTGGGCAAGCCGCTTCTCGGGTAGGTAGTGGGCGGCGTGGGGTGCAGACCTCGGCCAGAGCGCAGGGGCTCGGTGGATGCCGGTCCCAAGGTGCTCACACCGGTACTGGTAGGGAGTGGGTGTCCCCAAACTGGGTGGTGGGAGTGCTGATCCAGCCCAAGCCCACTGCTCACAGCAACTGCAGCAAGGGCAGAGTAGAGCCAGACCCGGGGTTACCAGGACTATCAGTCTTTCAGGAGCAAACAGCTCCCAGGGGCTTTGAACTGCCAACCTCTCAGTAAGCAGCTTACCTCCAGCGCTCCCTGCCCCTTGTCACCATGTCCCTCCTGCGGTCAGCGGGAGGAGGCGGCAGCCACTCAGCTTGTCTCTGCTTCTCCACCCTAGAAAGGAGCTCGTCCGGGTGGAAGCCACTGTCATCGAGAAAACAGAATCCTGGCCGAAAATCAACATGAAGTTTAAGAAGAGGAAGAACTACAGAAGGAAGAGAAGTGAGTGGTGAGGGTGGCGGCGCTGGCGGCCCCGCGTGGTCCTCGGGGTTTGGGTGTGGATGGGGTGTCATGGAGACCCTGCAGACTGCCACCAGGGCAGTAATGGTGACTTGTAGTCAGGGGAGGGCCCATGCTCACCACGCGCCCTCTGTGAGGGGCATGCAGGAACCTCTTCAGCGGCCTTGTCCACCAGGAGGACGGGGCTCCCGGTCACCCTGGGCCCCTCAGATCAGGGTGAGTTCGCTGAGAGGCAAGCTAGACATTGAGCGTGGTGGCAGGAGAGACCAGTCCCCAGAAGGACACGGTACTCGGTGAAACGGACACACGACAAGAAGGAAGGCCTTCCCTTAGTGGACTGACCCCGTGGTGGCGGCAACAATGGGTTCAGTCAGTGAAGGGCTGCCTGGGGAGGCGAGCGGGGAGCGGGCAGCGCTCGCCCAGCAGGAGGCCCACGCCACCTAGAGTGTGCCTCGTGTTCCTCTCACTCCGGAAGACCACTGAGGCCTGGCCAGTGTCACCACAGCCCCCACAGGCAGGCTGAGACCCCCGAGCAGTAGGCGCATCACTGGGATCCCCGGATCGTTCGCACCAGCGCGTCAGGTGGGGCTCCTAGTGAACCTGTGTGCAGCACAGCAGAGTGAAGCACTGCCCGGCGGGTCCTGCTCTGGGAACACATCCTTCCCCTGGCTGCAGCCACGGTGCCCTCCATCCTGTCCAGGGTCGTCCTCGCTTTCACTGCTCCCCCACTTTACCAAGCAGGATCTCCTCCTCCGGGGACCGCTCTCCTGACACCATGTTCCAAAGATGTGGGCCAAGTCTCACTGCATCCCCACTTCTCAGGAGTGACCAGGCTGGACCTCCAGCTGAGGGTCCTCTCCGAAGCCTGGCCAGCATTGAGGCTGCCCCACCCTAAACAGACCCAAAGCCACCCAGGGTGCAAAGTGGTGGGGAGGGCTGTGTGCTGAGACCATGAGGACCCAGCCTCTCCCCTCCAGCAGAGCCAGGGAGCTCAGTGCCCCTTTACACAGGGCACATGTATCTCAGGACAGGGTCACAGCATGGGACAGATGCATATACCATAGCACACATGACACACATGGGCACACCATAGAACACAGGGATATACCATAGAGCACATGTGACACACGGGTACACCTTAGAACACAGGGATACACCATACAGTACACATGACACAGATATACCATAGAACACAGGGACACACCATAGAGCACGCATGACACACACAGATACATGATAGACCACAGGGATACACCATACAATACACATGACACACGGGTACACCATAGAACACAGGGATACACCATACAATACACATGACACAGATACACCATAGAACACAGGAATACACCATAAAGCACACATGACACACACAGATACACCATAGAATACAGGAATACACCATAAAGCACACATGACGCACACAGATACACCACAGAACACAAGGATACACCATAGAGCACACATGACACACGGATACACCATCGAACACAGGAATACACCATAGAGCACACGTGAAACACAAGGATATACCATAGAACACGGGAATGCACCATAGAGCACACATGACACAGATACACCATAGAACACAGGAATACACCACAGAGCACACGTGACACATGGATACACCATAGAGCACACGTGACACAGATACACCATAGAACACAGGAATACACCACAGAGCACACGTGACACACACAGATACACCATAGAGCACACGTGACACACGGATACACCATAGAACACAGGGACACACCATAGAGCACACGTGACACACGGATACACCATAGAACACAGATATACCGTAGAGCACACGTGACAACACAGGTATACCCCAGAACACGTGGCTACATCACAGGACACAGAATACAGGTTCACCTCTGGGCATACATACCTCAGGAGGTAGGGGCACGCCACATAGCCACCCTCGGGATGTGTGTGGGGTAGAGTGGTGTAGGAGCACATGCCCAGTGCAGGTGCCCTGGGTACCGCCTGGCAGCAACCTGTCCCATGTCCCCTCTCGCAGTCATTGTCACGCCGCAGACTGTCCTCCGGATCAACAGCGTGGAGATTGCACCCTGCCTGCGGTGATGGACACACAGACAGAATAAAAGCCCTCCTGGAGACGCAGATGCATGGTCCAGTGGAGGCCGGACACCAGGCACATGGCACTCCACCTTGGGGCACTGGGCCAAGAAGCTGGCCCTTGGGAAGTGCCTCAGGGCCTGTCTGCCTGAGGTGGGGAGGGGCCCTAGGTGTGCAGCCAGGACCACTGTTCAGATGGCTGCCCGCTGGGCTCCGTTCAGGTGGGGTGGGTGCACACAAACGGGCCTCCCAGCTCCCAGCCGGACTGTCTCCTTTATTAAAGCTGAGCTTCCACCCGTCTCTGTAGTTGCAGTTGGGGTGGGGTGGGGGCACATACCCGGGGCCTCCGATGGAGCTTCAGGGTGGCCCTGGGGTTTGGTGGGGGGCCAGGCCCCTCAGCAGGGCTCGGGGAGGGAATCATTCAGAAGCAGGGATCCAGATCTGAAGGGTCAGGTCCTGAACCCAGAGGCTGAGAGCACATTGTGAGGCAGGGCTGGGAGGGTAAACCCCTTCTGCCTAGTTCACGTTAGTCCCCGGCTCACACCCTCCGCAGTGTCAGTGTGAGTCACAGCTCAGGGGGACACTGTTCCTACACGTGCCCTTGGAGATCCCCATGGGGTGGAGGGCCCGGGGCACCCCGTGATCTGGAGCAGAGACACAGAAGACACACCACCCAGCCCCCAGGACCATGCTGAGACTACTGTCGCTGCCCCCTCCTTAGCCTCTAGTCCGACTCTCTCCTCTGCTTTAAGGCCCTGAGCGGCGTCCTCCCCTGCCATGCCTTCTGTGGACAGCAGGGGGCAGGAGCCCTGCCAGCTGAGCAACCCTCTGGCTTGAGCTAGCCTCCCCAGCCTGGGAACCTGGCGAATGGGAAGCGGGTTCCACGTGCTGAGCCTCTCCAGTGGCCTTCTCTGTCAGGTGGAGGGGACTCCAAGGGCCAAGGTGGCACCCACGGGTGCCCCACAGTAGCCACAGAGCCATTCGGGACGGCCCGGGAACAGGGCTTCCAGCCATCACTGTGGGTGTACAGCCCAGCAAATGAGCCTCCCACTGGCTTCTGGAAGCAGCCGCGAATTCAGAGTGGTGGGAGGGAATTCAGAGTGGTGGGAGTGACTGCCATCGTGGCTCGGTGTCCTTGCATCTGAGTCCCCGGGGGACCCTGGCTGTGCTGTGGCGGTGCCTTCAGTGGGCTCCTCAAGACCCGGGACACAACATGACACTGCCCACCCTCCAGGTGCTGCCGTGTGAGCCTCTGCCAGTGCCCCGCCCTCCCCATAAGGGTCTCTCCCCTTTCCGATGATGTCCTCCAGCAGCCTGCCTCCAGGGCACATCCAGGTCTGAGAGGTGAAGGTGAAAATGTTTAAGGAGCCTCTGCCTGTACTTCTCTCGGGGGGGCTGTGCTACTTCCCACATTCTCAGGCCACATCATCCACCACCAGCACAGTTCAGACACCAGCTGTGTTCTGTGTCCGCTGCCTCCCCTGCACAGAAGGTGCCTTAATCTGACTGCTGATGACTCAGCGGGACAGGGTGGAGCTGCCCGCTGGCTTCCCAAGACTGTCCTTGGGGGAAGCATACAGCCTCCTCACTGTCCTGGAACCCTCTCTGTCCCTTCCTGGAAGGACACAGCTGCTCCCTCAGGCCCGGCACTCCCTACTCTGCCTCCCAGGCCCTCGCCACCTCCACCACCTGCCATCCCGCCTGGCAGCCAGCACCCACCTTGACCTTGTGCAGTTCAAAGGCCTGCCACTGCCCCGGTTCCTATCCACGCCTGGGCGCTGGGCCCCAGATAGATCAGGGAGCACCTGGCTGTACTGTATTCAGAGGGACAGGCAGGACCTGCCCTCTGAGCCATCAGGGACAGGGTGTCTCCTTCCAGGTGTCCATTGCACCCGCAGGCAAACCCCAGAACCTCTGGTGGCTCTCCTCCACCCACCAGCTGAAAGGGTGCTGGTGGTGAGCCAGCACGTGGAGCGAGAGTCCTCGGTGCGTCAGCCTGCCCATCCTTCCAGAAGGGAAGGCGCCCCACTCCAGCCCGAATACCCACCTCCCAGGCTTGTACTCTGCCCCCACGCACCAGCCTGCCCAGGCCTTGTTCTAGCCCTGACTCGTCCGCCTTCACTTTTTTTTTTTTTTTTTTTTAATTGTGATTTGGGCCAAAGTTCACAGAGCAAACTCCCATTCCACCCACCTCCACAACGGAGGGGCCACGTGACCGGTGACCTTGATGGCAGACGGCACAATGTAACAGCTCTTCCCACTCAGTGCACGTGCTCCTGCCACCCCAGCTCTTCCACCCGCCCTCTGAGTGAGCGAGCTCTCTTCCCGGGCAGGCACTGCCTTTCCCATCGGGATGATCGTCTGCAGAGACCAGTCCCCGGAAAAGGGTGGCGTGTTTGGTAAAGGAGGGGCAGCGGACGAGAGGCAGGCTCAACGAGGTGGACGGGCACCGTGGCCGCAGCCATGGGCCCAGACACAGGCCCCTGTCCGTGGGGTGCGGGACCGGGTGGTGGTTTGTTGCATCAGGTCACTGTGGGTGGGAGCCAACAAGGGCCCCTAAGCACAACATGGATCATGGTTCTAAGGGGCGCAAACCTCCCCGGTCCCACTGTCCCCCTTACTGACCTGTCTGGTGCTGGCTGCTGCAAGTCCTCATGGATTCGCCCACAGTGAGCGTGGAGTTTTCTATAATTTCCTTCCCTCTGTTCTCCACAGGGACTGGGTGGGGAGGCCCTTTAGTGAGTCATTTGCTTTTCATGGGCAACAAATAAAACCCCTGGCACCTGAGGGCTAATTGGTTATGGGACCAGATGATTCTAAGGTACGGCTATGGGACCCTGGGCTCCCGTCCTGCCACTGAGCCGGCCCTGTGGCCTCCGGGAACGCATGGCCCGCTCCGCAGACGCGGGAGGCAGCGCCTGGTGGTAACTGGTTGGTGTGTGCAGCCAGCCTTGGCCGGGGCCTTCACCTCTGCATCCCAGTCTCTGAGTGTCCAGCAGTTTCCTAGGTGACAGGCTGTTAGCTCAAGTGAGCTCACATGTAACATGCTGTGCCCAGTGCTTAGCATGTAGCACATGCTCCACAGGCAGATGCTGCTCTGACCCTCCGGCACACGTGTGAGCTCCCGTCCAGCTGGCGTCTGAATCCTGGAGTTCCCATTGCCTGGGAGGAGGAGCAGCCGGAGGAGGACCAGGGGTGAGGATGGGCAGCCTGGCTGGCGGCCAAGACCGGGTCCTCTTGCCCTTGACTTCGTTCCCAGTCCTCCACTGAAGGAACAAAAGAAAACACCGGAAGAACGTGGACAGGCTGGTTCTCTCTATCTTACCCTTCGGGCCTCGCTGCCACCTACTCACAGCAGCCCCACAGGACAGGGTAGAACTGCCCTTGGGAGTTTCCAAGACTGTCAGTCTTCACGGGAGTAGAAAGGCCCGTCTTTCTCCCGAGGATCTGCTGGTGGTTCCCAACTGCTAGCCTTGTGGATCACAGGCCAACCCACAACCACTACACCACCAGCGCTCCTGATCCTTAGGGGAGTGGTGTGTTATTTGGGGCCAACATCACTTCTCTTCTGTGACTGGCCTTTCACTACAGACCGTTTGTTTATTTACACCAGGGGTGCTCACACTTTTTCAGCATGCAAGGTACTTATAAAATGATCAAGTCAAAATGATCTACCAACAGAAATGCAAAACATTTATTTTTATTTATTCACAAATGCATTGAGAATTCTTCAGATGTACAATGTACGTTTATGTATCTTGCATCACCACTTGAGTCCATACTGCACAACACAATTAACAATGTACATTTTTTGTCATTTCCAGAGTTTACTCTGATGACTTGCACGGAATGGAATGAGCCAGGGATGCATAGTCCGGACAGTAGCTGCTGACAGCCCTCCCAAGCACACTTCCGAATGACCATCAGTCATGGGGGAACGGAACTTGGACTTAGTGATCTTTACGTGGGAAAAGCTTACTCACGTAAATAAGCAGAGCCGAAGAATGCGGTCAAGGAGGCAGCACATGTTCTCACGTTTGGGTGCTTTCCCTCTGCGAGTAGGTTCCAGAACTGTCCATGTGCTCTGGGTTTCAGCTGAATGTCAGAGTGCAGTGTCAGAATCTCCCATCCCGTGTGAAAGTGATACGTCTTTGTCTTCTCACTTGGTCCAGCTCCCCCACTCGTTTTAATACCCTTTCTTACGTTTAAGAGAACAAGGTCTAAAAATTGGCGATAACTTAGCTTGTCGGTTTTGCTGCACTTAGCGCAGTTGTTCGCGCATGCGTTTGACACCTACGATTGCATCTGATTGGCTACGCTGTATATCAATTAAGTGACGGGATTGATGATAGGCTTACGTATATGTTTTTAATGCCAAGAGAGCTACCTGCACTACATTTGCAATCAACTATGAGATCGCAATCGATGTATTGAGCACCCCTGATTTACACGACCCCGCCCCTGGACACCACAGACCAACTTCGAGCTCTGAGAGGTGACCTGTTCCAGGTGTCTCGTGGAAGCGGGTGGGCCGGGACAGACGGTGCCCCTGTGTCCAACTTATCTCACTTAGTGTCACGTGTCCGAGGCGCAGCCACGTGGCAGTGTGTGTCAGAGCTTCATGTCGGGACTTCCCTCTCCACACCGCAGCAGACACACCACTTCCATCTCTACAGGTCCAATTCCGCGACACTGACCTTGGCTGGGCGCCCTTCCAGCTGTGAGCCCCCTGCCCCCAGGGACATGAACGCCCTGCTCTCCCCCGCCCCCAGGGGTCTGGCTAATCCTAAGAGTGGCTACTGCCAATTTGATGCCCGGTGAGTCCTTGATAGTTCCGCACAGGGCTCAAGGCAGACGTTGTTTCCAGGGAGGCTAAAGGGGCGTTGAAACTTCAGGGGATGTGTTGGATTTTTTTGGTTTTGTTTTGTTTTTTTAATCATTTTATTGGAGGCTCGTACAACTCTTATCATCATCCATCCATCCATCCATCCATTGTGTCAGGCACATTTGTGCATTTGTTGCCCTCATCATTCTCAAAGCATTTGCTTTCTACTTGAGCCCTTGGTATCAGCACCTCATTTTTGCCCTCCCTGCCTCACGAATCCTTGATAATTCATAAATGATTATTATTTTCATGCCTTACACTAACTGATGTCTCCCTTCACCCACTTTTCTGTTGTCCGTCCCCCAGGGAGGGGGTTCTATGTACATCATTGTGATCGTACATTTTTCCCCCACCTTTCCCTTACCCTCCTAGTGTTGGTACTCATTCTTGGTCCTGAGGGGTTTATCTGTCTTG